TTTTGAACTTTTTTGCTTTGGTGCCTGTGAGTTGCTTAGAAAAATTAATTTATACTTCCCCAGAGATTAACTCAGAAAGAAGACAGTCAACAATGCCACAAAATTTTTATATTTCTTTCAAACACTGTCACAGTGTTTAAGTTCAGTATTTAACATCAATGCTAAGTAAAGCATATAAATTAAAACACACAGTAGAGAAATTAACCAATACACTTGTATACACTGTGGGAGTTCAGAATTCAAACAATCAGAGCACTCCACACCTCAGCTTTTCCAATTGTCCACGTAATTTGTCACAACTCAATAAGCATAAGCAGATTTCCAATCTCCAGACTAGACCTAAGTATAGCCAGAGCGCATTGTAAGACAATTTTCCTGTTAAAGGAGAATGATACAAACAATGCTAGCTATTATCAATACTTACCAATTCAATTATTTTTTCCCTCTTGCACTCCTTCCTTTTGTCTCTCCCTGTCACTAACAGTGACACAAAACAACTTCAAAAATACAATATGGAACTAATTGACTTTTCACAGTTTTAGATGCAACACCCTGACATTGCCACAAATGAGGAAGCTATTACATGAATGAAGAGGCCTCCATCGTGAAATGGTAAAGTTTAACAATCTTAATTTTTCAGAACAAGAAATAGGAGGTCTTTCTATTGAAGCACAAGAGAAAGAAGAAATAAGCATAGGTATGGCTAACACACATTTTAAAAGTAGGAGTGCCCAGCTACTATGATGTATAGGCAAAGTCAGGCCAGGTACAGTGACTCATGTCTGTAATCCCAGCACTTTGGGAGGCCAAGGTGGGACAATCATGAGGTCAAGAGATCGAGACCATCCTGGCCAACATGGTGAAACCACCTATCTACTAAAATTGCAGAAATTAGCTGAGCTTGGTGGTGCACGCCTGTAGTCCCAACTACTTGGGAGGTTGTGGCGGGAGAATCGCTTTAACTGGGAAGGCAGAGTATGCAATGAGCCAAGATCCTGCTACTGCACTCCAGACTGGCGACAGAGCGATAGTCCATCTTTAAAAATGGAAAAAAAAAAAAATGGTATAGACAATTCAAGCTCTTTGGACTTTCCTATACCACACACAGGAAAATAAATAATAAATCTGAAATGAAAGCAATAAACCCAAATAACTTATTCTGCAGCTTTACATACACATTTAAAAATTTCTTTTTAATTTGGAGATTAAGTACTAACAAGCACGGCATGGAAAAATTATTCAGACCTTTAGTTCTTGGATAGGTAGTACATAAAAAGGATGCAAGGGAATTATTACGCAAATAATTCCAAATAATCATATAGTCAGATATTCCTAAAACCTGCTCATGTTAATAACATTACTATTCTAGTTTATGGAACAATGTTTTTCTGTTTCTTTAAAATAAACTGTGCTGAGGGGCACAGGACTAAGCAGTATTCTTACCTTGTCATTAACTGTTCACACTTCTATGTCCTAGTAGAGAGTGTTTTTTACTATCTAAGTACAGAATTAAGTAAGTATGCATTTTATGTTGATAACAATACGTAGTTATCATTATCACATCTAGAGTAAATATTAAGTATTTTCACCGAAAACTATCTCTGTGCTTTGGTACCGTCTCAGAAGCCATTCCCTAGGGTTCTGGAGAAAAGCAGTATCATTTTTCATGGTGGTTCTATAAATTTATGCCTTCAGTTACAAAAACAGTATTAAGAAGAGGGTAGCCAAATTCTCATCAGAAGCTATCTCCAAGATTAGTATGCCTCTCCTACCATTTGCTTCTTTTAAGTAAGGATAAAACATACTAGGACACCAAACCCACCTAAGAACATACACAGTGATATAACCATGTAGCACTTTACTTCTGAAAATAAATTATTGGCATTTAAACCAATTACATAAAAATAATATACATTAAAGGGCATCCTTTCCCTTTTAGGTAGTTACAAAATAAACACTGCAAAATACATTAAGGAGAGAGTTTGGCTTAAAACAGCAATAGATGCAAATGTATGATTTTAGAGAGGCTTACAGATTTCAGAAAAGCCCCAGAAATCCTTGAAGTAAAGGCAGTGAGAATTTACAGCTTTCTTCCATGAGTGAAGCAGAAGAGCACAGGGTAAAGAACACGAGGTCCACAATCAAGTCATACAAGTTTTCTAAGCCTCAGTTTAAGCCTTCACCTACAAAGTGGGAATAACAGGTGTGCCAGTATCTCATTGGTTATTGTGAGAATTCAATTCAATAATGCAAGTAAAGAATTTTATACAGCGGCAGGTATTCATTAAGCCATAAAAATCACTCTTCCTACTGCTACTGCTACTACATCTAGAACCTGTCATATTCTACACAGAGAACTTAAACAACCAATTAAAATAATTACTAAATTTAGTGAGCCCTCCCATCTGTTTTTGTTTGACACAAAAACTCAGGGTGGTTTTTACAGTTTTAAATTGATAAAGAAAAAAATCAAAAGAATGATATTTTATGTCATACGAAAAATATGTGAAATTAAAATTTAAGTGTCTATGAAGTTTTATGAAAAACAGCCATGCTGGCCAGGAGCAGAGGCTTACACCTGGAGTCCCAGGCTATTTGGAGGGCTGAGGTGGGACGATCACTTGAGCCCAGGAGGTTGAGGTTGCAGCGAGCTATGATTACACCACTGCACTCCAGAATGGGCAACAGGGTAAGGCTCTGTCTCTAAAAAATAAATAAATAGATAATAATTTTTTTCAAAAAGCACCCATGCTTATTCATTTATGTCTTTCTTTGACTGTTTTTGTGCTACAATGGCAGAGTCGAGTAGCTGCAATAAAACATACGGCTGTCAAAGCCAAAAATATTTACTATCTGTCCCGTTGCAGAGAATTTGCCAACCATGGTCTAGAATATAAACAAAACAACTATTTAGACTAAAAGGCTAATACATGGGTGTTTTCTTGTCTTAAACCATGATTCGTTCACTAGACAGATTTTTAAATAGTTTTTCAAAAGTAATTGTCTAAATTTGTTAAGGCAATTACTTCCATACTCTCATCCTCATATCCTACATTTTCAATTACTCGAGAAGTTACAAATAAAATCACCTCAAAGACTGCTACTTTTAAGTTCTAACACCACTATTAATACTTCATCATAAAAAGAACATGAAAAGGTCTCCTTATCACCAACATACATCTACTTAAACCAGTATAAAATAACAGCTGAAATCCATGAGAAAGCTAAATGCCAAAAAGAACAGAAAACCAAGTAACATCCAATGTCATTCATCCTCCAAGGTAACTTATCATCTTTGAGGAAGAAAAACGACTGACACCTATTAAGATATTGGGAAATTACTGTTGGATGCAATGTGGGGATTATATTACAAGAAATAAATGAAAGTGAAAAACAAAGAATATGCTTAAACTACACACAAGTAGGTAAGAGAATAAGGAAAACAAGAGAGAGAAGCACAATAACAGAAGTCAAAACAGGCAGAACAAATAAAGTAGAGAGCACTGATAGGAAGTACAAAGCAATGGAGAAAGTAAGATTACAATATGATAGAAAGGAAAAGATAATCTCACAGATTACCCTTTTCCTCTCTTTCTTTCCTCACAAGGTTTCATTTGATTTTTATGAAACATTCTAGAAAAATATTCCAATATTTCATTTATGAAAAGCCTGCTGCAGAGACAAATGATACTTGGAATATTAAAGGAGCAAAGAAACAGAAACTATATCTGGAGAACCTACATACCCTGAGAGGGGAGGTAAACCTACAAAAAAAGGTTAAATTACTAAGAAAATTACAAAGCAAGACACAAACTGGGTAAATGATCCTGTCAGCAGAAAGAAAGGAATGCAAGTGAATTCACACTCCCGCTTATAAAGGAGAATGATAGCTTGGAGCTTGAAAAGAAAGGTAGAGTTTGAAATATCAGGAGTGAAAACTGGAAAAGGAATCAAATAGAGATGAATGAAAATACAGGCAAGTAGCATTAATAAGCTTATGATTTAACAAGTAGGCAAAATCGTAAGTGCATCCTACCTAGAATACTTATGTTATTTTCTACAGCAATCTAACAGCAGAGGTAACAAGTAGTTGGACAGATGAAGTACAGAAACTGTGAGAGCTGATGGAGCAAAAAGTCAAAATGTTTAACGCTTGTCAGTGTATTACTAGGGGTGAGAATAAAATCACTGACAATAAATTTCTGTCTAAAGAAAGGAAAACGTTCTGTAGGAGGAAACAGCCAAGTTAGGAAAGTAGGCAAAAATAGAGAGACTAGTCTAATTACAGTCAAGAAATAATAAATGGGTATTCAAGAGCTATAAAAATTAGAGGTATGTATTCCTGTGGTATTTCAAAAAAGCATTCCCAACAACTGGTTAACTGTGGATATACAGGCAATAGAATTAACAGGTAAAGTCTGAATACATTTTCTATTCTTAAAACAGGAAAAACCCTTCTCCCAACAAATTATCATCATATAAACATGACACTAGAGAACAAAATCCATGACAAACTTGGACTCTTGAGATCAAGTCATTACTTTAAGATTCCAAAAAGAAACACTCAGAGGCCTTAAAAATTACAAAAATACTGAAAATGTTTCTTAAACACTACACAAATATCCACACTGAAATTTACAGAAGAAGCAATAATGCTGTTCCACCTTCAGTAGGCCACACACAAAGGTATTAGCATCACACAGACTGGCTGATGTCAAAACATACTATGTCCAGTTCAGTCAGGTTTCGTTGACTCACACAGTTTAAACAGAATTAGTAGTGTCATATCAACAAAGTAGTACTGGCAATGGATTGACAAGCAAATTGCTTCATTACATACATCTACCTGTCCTTTAATAGGAATTGCTAGTAAAAACTATGTTCTAGCCTGATTAATTGCTTAGGAAAGAAAAGAGCTAATGCTTCATTTGTCTTCACACAGTTTTTACTATTCATATGCCTTTTGAAAAAAGGCTACTTGATAAAATTTAAGTACTTACTAATATCATCTTCATGATAAATGACAGAGTGAAATGGCAGAGTTCGGTCTTTAATATATCTCTCTGCTGGCTCAACATAAAATGTGCCACCATGAGTCTGGATGAATCCTTCAAATCTTCCATCAATAACAGACCCATGGCTAAAACTTCCTTCTTCACCTATTAATGAAAGCAACAAATTCTTGACAATTTAATTTGCACATGAATGTTAAACTTGTTCATATATATGTATATATACATGTATATATACACATACATATATACACACATATATATGGTTAAATCTGGAATATAAATTTATTATGGAAATTTTCACGTAAAATACATCAAGCAGAATTTGAGATGTGAGCAGCAACTCGTATTTAGTTAAAACATATACAATTACTACTATCAGCAATGAAAAATAGAGTATCTGCCTTGTTACCAACCACATTCCTTGCACCTAGCTCAGTGCCTAGCATGTATACAGTAGTCATCAACAATCATTAAACTGGCCCAGGACAGTATGGTTCACACTTATAATCCCAGCACTTTAGGAGGCTGAGGCAGGCAGATCACGTGGGGTCAGGAGTTCGAGACCAGCCTAGCTAACATAGTGAAAACCTGTCTCTACTGAAAATACAAAAAACATTAGCTGGGCTTGGTGGCATACGCCTGTAAGTCCAGCTACTTGGGAGGCTGAGGCAGGAGAAACACTTGAACCTTGAAGGTGGAGGTTGCTGTGAGCTGAAGTGGCACCACTGACCTCCAGCCTGGGTGACAGAGCAAGACCTTGTCTCAAAACAAAACAAAACAATTAATTGTTAAATTAACTTAAAAGCAAGCAAGCAAACCCAATGATAGAATATACACTTTCAGAATAAAGACATCCAAAGCATCTTTTGAAAATTTTGCTATAGTTACCACAGGAAAAAAGCTCCTTCCCGTCCGACACACTGTGCATGGGTCACACCTTCTGGCTTCTGCGGTATGCTTGGTTTTGTTTTTGTTTTGTTTGTTTGTTGTTTGAGACAGGGTCTTGCTCTGTCACCCAGGCTTGCGTGCAGTGGCAAGCTCAAGGCTCTCTGCAGCCTCAACCTCCTGGGCTCAAGCAATCCTCCCACCTCCACCTCCCTAGTAGTAGGGACTACAGGCAAGCACCACCACGTCCAGCTAATTTTTGTATTTCTGGTAAAGACGAAGTCTTGCTATGTTTCCAGACTGGTCTGGAACTCCTGGGCTCAGGCAATCCACCTGCCTTGCCCTCCTAAAGGGCTGGGCTTGTAAGCGTGAGTCACCACGCCCAGCCTATAAATACATTTTTAAATAGAACAGTGTCAAAGATTTCAGAAGCAATTTGAACAAAAATAAACCAACAGTATTTTTTAAAATATTGGAGAAAGATTTGTAATACTATCCCATTAGTTATACTTCTCTAGTGAAAGGAAATAATAGGAAATAAAGGGTTCTTAATAAAATAAGAACCCTGGTTTATAATAAAATCTGGTTCTTAATAAAATCACAACGAAAAGGTGAGCACCAAAATCAAATAACATAAAGGGTGAAAGTAGAGGGAGAGGGCTTTAAACCTTGAATTTACCCATTACAATTCTCTCATTAAAATAAAAATCTAGTTTCCACAGTTTCTAAGTTGTAGAGTAACATTAATTCGTTGGCTTTGAATTAATCATAGACTGGAGGTAAGAGACCAAGACACTGGTATTTTAAGTGATTTTTTTTTTTTAAATAAAGAGACAAGGTCTCTCTCTGTCACCCAGGCCACAGTGCAGTGGCACTCACAGTAGCCTCAACCTCCTGGGCTTAGCAATCCTCCTACTTCAGCCTCCCATGTAACTGAGACTACAGGTATGACACCACAACCAATGTTTTTCATGTTTTTTTAGAGACAGGGTTTCACTGTATTGCCCAGGCTGGTCTCAAGCTCCAGGTCTCATGCACTCCTCCTGTCTCAGGCTCTCAAAGCACTGGGATTATAGGTGTAAGTGCTACCATGCCTGGCCTAAATAGCATGATTTTTATCTGCAAACTCATTTATAGTCTTGTACTTTCCTTGATCATCACCTAGCAAAGTAAAAAAGCAGGAACTACTAAGTTATTTGCCCAACAAGATAAATAATCAAGAAGATAACAGAACACTAAAGCGTGACATTAAAAATCTAGACTGATGAATAAATGCTTTACAAAGAATTTAATAATTAGGTTTATTCTACAAATAAGAAAGTTTAACTATAGAAATGCCTCATTTATCTGGCACAATCAAAAAATGAGAAAAAATTCTTCAATCACTTAATTTTTCATGTTATTATTTTCAGGAGAAATCACTCGTGTAGAAATAACCTCAAACAGTTTAACACTGTCTTACATGAGAATCATCTTGAGTACTTACTAATATAGAATTACAAAACAATGACATTTTGCCTCTCTCCAACGCCCCCAGATTTTCATTGCTTAAGCTTTTTTTATGACTTCTATAACTGTTCTGTTCTTTCCAAACTACTAGTAAATGAAACTTTCTATTGGGTTAAGTATGCCACTCATGGCCCACAATACACATTTTTAATTTGACACAGCAAGAAAAATTTGTTAGAACTGTGAATAAAGCAAATAGATTCTGAGGAAGGAGGGTCTTGCGAGGATTTCCCTACAGATGACTTTGTCACATTATTTTTGGCTAAGATATCTTTATGGTTTCCTTTTAGGCTTTTCCTGTTTTCATATAAAACACAAGTTACTATTAATTTCTTACTTGAAAAATCAGAATATTATAGAAGTCATTAAAATTTTTCAAAACTCTAACAGTTTAGAGGTACTGAGTCAGAATTTCATACCTTTCAGAAGCCAGATATTTCATAATTCACTATTAAACATACATGTAAAGATAGGTCTAAACATTACTTCATTTCTCAAAGACGATTACCCTTCATGATGAACTCAATCTCCCCTGGATTTATAACCTTTTCTGAAATATTTGCTTACAATTCAAAATATGTATCTTTGTGTAGGAAAAAAAAAATGAAAGAAAAGGGTTCTGTTAAGGTCCAACTTACCATAAATATGTCCAGTGTAAATATGAGAGGTATCATAATCAAGTACTTTATTTGATGTTTCTACTTTAAATTCATCACTGAAAAGGGAAGTGTCCCTCTTCATTCGTAGGTTGAAATGTCTGTAAAATGGGATGGGAAGGGGGAAAAACTGAAATTAAAAAGATCCAAATTTTAAACAATCATTTTTTATTTTAAAAAATCTACAAAATGTGGGCTATTTGTGAAATATGCTGACCAAGATTTTTAAATAAATATTCTCCTCTAAAAGTCAACTTAGTAGCTATGGTGGGACTCTAAATGAGATAAAATTAAACAGTAACTGTCTAGGATATTAAAAATAAATGTGTATAGACTGATTCTTACATGGTAAAACAAGATATTGAAACAGCAACTAAGTTACTTGGAGATAAAAATAAGCTTCCTGACCCAGTTACTATTATTTACCACTGTCTGTCTTCTCTGTCTAGTAATTCTGCAGCTTTACTATTCTCCCCTACTTTCTACAACTCAAATAAGAAAATATATAGGAAAGCAGCATCTATATTAGGTATTTAACATCTCTTCTCAGAAAGACAAATGTGTATGCTCTTTGTTTTACCCTGGGACTTCTAGTTCTTGCAAATTATAGAAATCTTCCTCAATTCGATTTGGGAACCCTGAAAGGCCAGGATAATGGCTGAAATCAGAGGAATTTTAGTCCTCCACATAAAAAAGGGAAAAATAAAAATACTGAAGTAAAATTAATTGAAGATATGACAAAAATCTGGAGTTTGGAATCAAACTGGGATCAAATCTTAAGCCTAGAGTTTACTAGCCCAGGTTCCTGTCTGTGAAATAAAGGTAATAAATTATATATTATATTATTATATATGACATAGATATAATTATATATTAATTATATATTATATATAATATAAAATAGTGAATTATTTTATATAATTACATATAATATATAATTTAATATATAATCTTGTAAAATTATTTTAAATATTAGAACTTATAATATATATAAATTCCTAACACAGTACCTGACACATTGGAGATATATGATAAAACAGCAACAAATTAGCTAACATTAACTCTTTCAAAAATATATCAAGTCTTTTATAATTGCTACAGAAGTCTGAACATAATGAAACCTCAATTTTTTTGAAAATTACAACAAAGTACTACATCCTTTTTTTTTTTTTTTTAACATATATATGTTTTGCAGAGCACTACAAGAATCTTGTCTTTAAAAATACTTGATAAAAATATGTAACACAAGGCCAGGTACGGTGGCTCATGCCTGTAATCCCAGCACTTTGGGAGGCTGAGGCAGGAAGATCATGAGGTAAGGAGTTTGAGACCAGCCTGGCCAACATAGTGAAATGCCTTCTTACCTAAAAATACAAAAATTAGACAGCCATGGTGGCACAAGCCTGTAGTCCCAGCTACTCTGGAGGCTGAGGCAGGAGAATCACTTGAACCTCGGGTGGAGGCTGTGGTAAGCACAGATCGCACCACTATACTCTAGCCTGAGCAACACAGTGAGACTCTGTCTCAGAAAAAAAAAAAAAAAAAAAAAAAAAAAAAAAGTAACACAGTAAGTTGTATAGAAAAATATAGTCACTTCATACATTTGTGACACGAATAAATTGGTACAATCTCTATGGTAGGAAAACTAGTTTAAAAATCCGAATTACAAATGTACATAGCTTTTGATACAGGAATTCTACTTCTAGAAATTTATCTTATATATATTTGTACATAAGTGAAATTACTACAAAGAATGCGGCATAATAAGAAATATAAAGTAGAGCTGGGCGGTGGCTCATGCCTGTAATCCTTTGGGAGGCTGAGGCGGGTGGATAACCTGAGGTCAGGAGTTCAAGACCAGCCTGGCCAACACGGCAAAACGCTGTCTCTACCAAAAATACAAAAATTAACCAGGCGTAGTGGTTTGCACTTATAGTACCAGCTACTGGAGAGGCTGAGGCAGGAGAATTGCTTGAACCTGGGAGGCAGAGGTTGTACTGAGCCAAGATCACACCACTGCACCTCAGCCTGGGTGACAGAATGAGACTC